ACTCTTTCTCCCCATGTTTAAAGACGCAATTTGACCCCGGCTTCTGCCCTGGTATGAAGCAAGGTGAAACAAGAAGGGCCGCAGGCTATGGGTCTACACTTCATCAAGGTTAAATCACGTATGGATCAGCTAATCATCTGCAGTGAATTAGCACAGTTCTGCCCAATGTGTTAGTGGCAAACCCAGATGACACCCTTAGGATGCAAACCTAGGACCCGTCACAGAGTCAGTCTGGATGTTTGGTCCTAGGCAATATTAGAGATTAGATCTGGATATCATCCCTGCCTAATGCTCAGGATAATAGCAGTGGGTTCAAAGGATGTATTTGGTTCATTATTCTGCCAACAATGATTTGAGTTGGCAGAAACATTGCTTCTCAACAAGGAAAACCACCCTAGGTTGAATGATAGGTCAGCCAATGAAAGTGTTCACTGAAATAATTTTGAAGATGGTGGGTTTTGGTTACTTGCAAGCCTGTCATTTTTGGCAAGTTCATCTCAGCTCCAGCAAATATAAAGGAAATCTAAAGCCCCTGATTATCACCTGCTTTGCCTCCAGCATTTCAGCATTTTTCACTTGTTACATTTTCACTTGCTAACCAGTTTCTGAAGCTGCAAGGCTTGAGGGTAGAACTTGGTGATCAGAGCTTTTTTCTAGACACAGCTTGCATTAATCAAGTTTTTGTCAAAGAAACATATAATTCATGGTGTATGAACACACCAGGAGTTCATACAAAGTTTTTATTATTCTCTATTGTCAAAGTTAGACCAAAATGCTGTCCAAAAGAAAAAAACCCTCCATAGTTTGTAAATAGAGGAGTTTACACTTCACTGAAGATCAACGAGCAAACAATCCAGATCAAAAACGATCCTGTGAATTTGGCTTTCATTTTTCTCCCAAGACAGCAGCATTTGGCTAATATTTTGTCCTTTGTCTTTGAACAAGTGCTATTAAAAAATAAACAAAAAATACTTGCCTTATAGGAAGTGCTTAAACAGGAAATTCACCTTCATATAATTTCCTGGGTGTTACAAAATTAACCTTAGCACAGAAAGAAGTGGACCAGTGAAGTGCACGATTATTTCTCTTTGTCATAGACACCTTCAGGATGTTGACCCAAGAAGTGCAATTAGCTACGAGCTGAGGTCGGGAGGATGACTGATTTGTAACTTGGGTACTAGCGACTAAAATTGAGAAGGAAGGGGGAATAAAAGCAAAAGACATCACAGTTCTTTAACACTGACAGTAACACGCAGGTGATGGGTGCTGTCAACATTATAAACTATATACAGGACAAAGCAGGACTCTTTCTTTTCCCAAAGAACGCAACAACAACAAAAAAAAAAGGTGTATATAACACAGTTGACACATTATCTCAGGGATGAGGAAAGGGGGCTTCTCATGAATGTTGTAGACTTAACTCATGTCAGTCCAGAAGACAGTTCATCTGCCTAAACATACATCCTCTCCCCCTTCCTCCTTAATATTTAGTGAAGACCAGGGCAGTAGCAATGTCTGATGCAATTGTGGTGCTAATAGGATGTTAATAAATGCAAAGTTTTCCCTGAAAGGGAGCACCTTACTCCAGGAAGAGATGAGGGTAGGTGGGGGCTCAAGGAATGACATGTCTAGTGCCAGCATCTGGTGCGTCTTCTCATGGGCACTGGTAGCTTATCTGGCAGTCAGTTGGGTAGGGTGTCAAGCCCAAGAGATGCTGCATGTTGCTTTGCTCGGAGCCTTAGATTCTCAATACTCGTCGTTTTACTGTTCAGGCTTGGAAGAGAGCTGGAGGCCTGCAGGATGGGTGAGGACCAGACCTGCTGAGCGTGGGAGAGCGACTGGTAATAGGACTGACAGTGCAGGGAGCTCAGCGGGGCCATGTTGACGTTCATGCCCAAGTAGGGCATAGCAGATGGTGTCCCCATTTCGAAGGAGGAGTAATGGACCAAGTTGTTGGTGGCTGCCATGTGCTGGCGGAATTGCTCCTGCAGGCGGAAGAGGCTCAGGGGTGAGGATGAGTAGGAGTGAGTCTGAGCCAAGCCACTGCTGGATGAAGGCGTCACAGTCACGCTGATAGGGGACTCTGTAGCAGGAGACAGAGGGGATAGGGGTTATTTCTACAGCTGGATGCAGGTGCTGATTCACACCCCAGCAGGGCTCAAGCTGCAGCTTGGGCTTTCCTTTTGTGCCAAGAGGGAAAATGAGAGGGGTTGTGTTAGCTCAGGAGAGCTAAACTTGTGTCTGTTCTATGCTTAGCATCTTACATTATGAAAACGGTGCTGACCTCCTTGCTATGGCTTTCCTGCTCTCACTGGGCACTGTTCTCCCCAGGCTCTAACCTGAGCATAAGGTCTTTGGTCTTTATGTGCTGCTGCTAAAATAGACATAAACCCCTGTGTGGGTCTCATTTAGTGCTGAGGACAAGAAGATAAGTCTGGACAGATTACCTATAAGCACCCACACCATAGGGAATAAGGGACTATATCCAACCACCGTTCCCCTTGAAAACACCAGGTCCTTACACCAGCCCCATCAGGATGCTGCTCCTCACCTGCTTTTGGGCTTGCTCTCTTGCAGTTCAAAGTCTTGCTGTCCACACCAGGGCTCTTGTCCACTTTAACCTCATCCAAGGTGCTCTTAAACTCCTCTTCTCTGTCGGTCTGGTCCTCAGGTGCTGACTCACTTGCTGACTGCTCCGATAGGGTTAGGTTGAGGTCCGTGCCTACCTCGCTCTGGAGGCTCTGGACTTTCTCAGTGTCCGGGGGGGTAGCCTGGGTCTCCAGCATGGGCAGCTCCATCTTTCCCTCACTGTGGCTCCCTTCACAGTCCTTCTGCTTCTGCAGCTGCTCCTTCTGCAGGCTACGCTGCTTCTTCCGGAATTTGGCTCTCCGGTTCTTGAACCAAACCTTCAGTGCCACAAACAGCAAGGGGAAAAAGCTAGTGAGAATCCTGCTTAGTGCCAGATTCGGCATCATTCACCCGAAGAGCTTCAGGGGAACCCCACGTAGTGACGTACTGCAAGCCCACTGTGCCCAAATGGCATTCCACTTTGTTGGATCTTAGAACTCTACCTATTTTCAATGCTTCTACAAATAGCACAACAAATATATTTTAACAAAAGACCAGCCTTTATGCTGATTCTTTAAAGCCACTCCACTGGTGGCAGTTTTTTGTTGTTTAGGGTTTTTTTTTGTTGCTTTATTTCTAAATTGATCAGGCATTTGCATCCAACCAGAATGTCTCCTATCTGAGTTTGATAACATTACATTGACTTACAGGACAGTGCTCTGTTAGTTTCTAAAACAATCTGGTTATACATGTACGAAAACTATGGCAGCAACACTCAAAATAATTCATTACAGGCATAGGCTGCTATCTGGGAAGCAAATTTAAGGAGGGAGGAGAGAATCCATATTTTTTTAACTTAAATCAGTACATGTGGATTGGAAGCAATAAATCTTGTTAGTGTTGTTTGGATAATTAGATGAGGAAACAAAAATTTTAAAGATCAAAATGTCTTTACATTTGTATAAAAGAACTATTTTTTTTTATTACTTATGCACTTCCCACTGCAGAACTTGCTATTAGTCTTTTAAAGCCCAGCAATGCAAGAACCTTCCCACCAGCAGGTTATGAAGCACATTGCACTAGTTGAAACTAAAAAAGAACCACACAGCACAAACCCAAACCTTGGCCTGAGATGTTACAAATATTGACACTGGTGGAAAAGAGCAGCTGGAATTAGTTGGTTTTCTGCTCTTCTGAGAAAGCCAGAAAAACCTTGCAAATAAATAAATAAGTAGACTTCTGTTGATGTTTCTAAAATTTCCCCCAAAGAAATGTGAAAGAACAAATGAAAACCAGTATACACTTCAGACAATCCTAAATCTAAAAAATGTGCATGTGGATTAAGAATTTCTTTAGCAGATGTAGGACTTTGGATGACTTCACCCTCCCCTGCCTCCACCCTCCTCTTTGACAACTTCACTGCCCCAAAATCTTTAGTTGCACTGGAAGGATATCAAAAAGCCTTTGGAAACCCCACTATAGTCTTTTAAACATCCCCACTCACAAACCCACAGAATAGCAGTACCTGGACTCTGGCCTCAGGGAGGTTTGTGCACATGGCCAGCCGCTCTCTCATCACCACATCTGGGTAATGAGTCTTCTGGAAGGTCTTCTCCAGCGCCTCCAGCTGTTGGGCAGTGAAGGCCGTGCGGCTTCGCCTTTGTTTGCGGTGCTGGGATCCATAACGTGCCTCCAAAATGATGTCTTGAAATGTACAGCCGTTGGAAGACAAGAAAAGTGGCCAATTTAATTATTGGAATTTGTATGCTGACAGTTGAACAAAGTACTTGCAAACACCAGATAAACCTACCAAACATTCTTTTCATGGCTTTAGATCTAACAAAACACATACACACATTTTGTTGATTAATTGAGGTGTTGGAGGTGATAAAACCTCTCACCAGAAAGCTTGGCCTGGAGAAGGAACCTCTTTCTATGGCAGCTGTAGAAACTGTTAAGACTCCAATGCTAAATTTGGTTGAAATAAGCCAATCTGTTCCAACAGCAGCGCAGCAGGACTCGCAGATTCTCAGACCTCACCGTGGCATAAATAAGCCTCTTTCATTAAGAAGCACAATTAAAAACAAGGTGGGGATATTCACCATTGTAATCAGAAGAGGGGCCCAACATTATGTGTTGTGTTCTCATTAAAGCCGAAGGCTGAGATTCTGCAGGCTTCATCACTGCCACGAGGTGCTGATCGGTGGGAAGAGTACATGCAGCTTGAACACAGCTGCCTCTAGCTCATTCTGTTGGCTGCAGCTGCCTTAAAAGACATGCATCTTCCCAGAAACCAGGCTGAGTTGGCTCTTCTTTAGTGTCTCATATGTAGCTCACTGTAGTTATCAAGGCATGATATTGGAGAGATGTTCACCCAGAACATCTGAGCGTAGACCCTCTCCAGCATCTGGGGTGGAAACACTAGCCAGTACCAAGTCCAGCCCCACTGACTGCAAGCCCAGGGCTCATGCGCTGAGCTCTTCTCACTAGAGGAGCCACTCGCAAGTCTGACTTTGCAAACTGTGCTTGCAAAGTAACAGGCAGAGAAGAAATTCAGACTGGGGAAAATCTGAGGCCAACATTACAGGGTTTATTGTTCACCGGAGGCGTTATTATTGCACAACAGTTAGTGGGAGTAGAAAGATCCCAAATCAATGAAAATAAGTTACTTTATTTAAAATGAAGAAAAAAAAAGAAAGAAAAGCAAAAAGAAACCTTTATTGTGCAAGTTGGGACATGCTGTGCTACAGCATTGGAATGAAATAGTCTGGCGAGAGGTTTGTTCTCAAAGAGGAAATGCAGAAAGAGCAGTATCTGGTATCATTTTTAATTCAGTTAAGAATGTGACTTCCAGTAGAAGGGAGGAATGAACACACTAGAAAACAAGCTAACAGGGGGGAAAGTCGGCATTATCAGCCTGTGGAGCCAGATGAAGGCTCTTGCTGCTGTTTATTTGTGCTTTTGTCACGAGCACTGTGGTATGAACCTAAATGATAAAACAAAACCTGCTGTCAGGCTAGCCCTAGAACCACACAGCCAGGTTCCAAATACATTGTCTAACAAGCGTAGCAAATCAGCTTTGCACTGCTCAAACATTCCTCTTCCAAACTTCCAGCTGTTTCATTCTAGGTCAGCATTTGCGGCGCCTTTCTGAGCAATTGCCAAAGCCACGTGGTTTTGGCAAGCTGGAAAAGACGTGATCAGGCTAAAGGTCTTCGGCCAAATACAATATAGTGTTGGTTGCATACAAGAGGCTTTTGTGTTGAAGGTATTGGAGCAACTCGGGAAATTAAAACGCTGATAGTAGTAGCTGACACTTTAGAGGTAAAGAGACCATCCTTGATGCATTAAGACACAGCCACAGTGCAGCCAGGAGAGGAGAAGGGATGTTCCAGCACAAGAAATTGAAGCTACCCCAAAATATTTTACAAAGCTAACGTTTGTGTTTCAAGTACAAGACAACAGGAGAAAGGGCACTCGTTAAACACCCTACCTGCAGGCTGGAATATTCCTGAATTTCTAGAGTAGAGGTTAGACCTACCAGTTCCCCAGAGGCGGCAGCTCATGCATTAAGTTTGGCCACTCCAACGAGAGCCAACCAGCAATTATTTTAATGTTTTAACTATGTTTTCAGGCTTTGTACGTGAAGGAGAATATAAATTGCAGGTGAGGCTTTGCAGTTACAATCAGAAACCTCTGTTTTCTGACTTAAGGTCATTTGCTTTTTGTGCTGCTTTATTCTGACTGTCCCTGGAAGGCAAATGAGATCTATAACCTGCATGGAAAGATATTCAGAAGTAACAGAATGTGAAGCAACTGCAAAGGAACCAGCTCGTAGGTATATAATGCCTACCCTGCCTATGATAAGCAGAGAAAAGGACCGTGGGATTTAATTTGGAAAGTCTTCCAGGTGGGTTATTAATTTTAAAGATAAGAGGTCAGAAAACCAATTGAATCTCCTGGGCAAGAACACGAGAATAGATTTTTTATTCTTTTTTTATCTCCCTCTGCTTTACCATAGATTGAGTCAAAGACATTAAGTCCTCCATGCTCTGCTGTAAAAGATACAGGTGATCACAAAAATCATTCAAGAGATACTTGCATCTTGAAAAGGAGTACCTTGAGACCCAATGTCTGCAAGACACATTGCAGAGTTCAGGACCATCTACTCCCCTCTGACCACCTACACGCTGAAAGGATGAGGGAAGGAGGGGATGGATGACCAGGACAAGGAAAGTGCCCAACTGCCTTCAATCTGCATCCCAGCAGGAAAGCCAGGCTTAGAGTCCAGGTCTCCTTGATCCCACTTCAGTTCTTTATTGATGAGGAAAATGACTCCCAGCTCTGCCCTACAGCCCCCCAGAGATCCTACAGGCCACAGTGAGTGGTCTGAGGAGCCATGTTAAGGAGGTCACTACTGGCAGCTAGATAAGGGAACATTGCTGGTATGAAGCCTTGAGAATCAGCTGTGGTTCACTGATCCAAAGAGTCTGAGTCCTTCACCACCATGCCTTTATGGGCTACCCGTCTAGGAGGACCGTTCTGAAACTTCTGCATCCTTGTTCTGACTTAAGCCCACATCTCTTAAATTTAGCCCACTAAAGCTCTCTGGGTAGATGATTATTTTCTACCTATTGGAAGAAGGCTGGAAGGAGTCACTCAACTTATTTTTCCTTTATTGTCGAACAATTAGAAAGGTATCTTAAAGCAGATGTGTAATTTTCAGCCAGGGAAGATCGTTCATCCTGGGAAGGTCTCTAGAATCACATCTGTGGTAACTTTTTGCTTTAGTTTCAGTAAACTAGATGTCAGGTCTGCTCTAACACACTGCATCAAAGTCATGACCAAAATGGTGATGTCGCAGCTGTTGACCATTTGCGTTGCAGTAGCCTTTGATGATCTCGGCCAGATCTGAGTGCTTTGTGCTAGGCTGAAATCTAGAGTAGATATACTTGCCCTGCCATACCAAATATTCTCAGGTCTCCATCAATTATTTTTTGAACAATTCTCCCTACCAAATCATAAAATACTATCTGGACTTCGCACTTCTTTGTTATGATAGTATTGATGCAGCTCCTGTCCCACTGTCCCAACATCAACAACACTATATAAATAATACTCTCTAGGTAAAGTCACATATGACTTTCTTTGAGCCTAACAAAACTCTTTATGGAAGGCAAAATACAAAAGCAACAGAGAGGGAGTCAGCAGAACCTGAGAGAAAGTGTCACCCAAGCCGGGGTCTAGGATTCCCAGGAAGAGATAGGTCAAGGTGAGACCCAAAGAAGATCCAAATGAAGATCATTTTCCAGAGAGAAAGAGCATTTAGAAAGACAAGAAATCAAAAATCATTGCAAGAAGGGACAACATGGAAGAACAAGCTATGGCCTGGGATAACAGGAGATGGCTGTTAGGGGATGCAAGTCCTGGGCCCCTCAATGAGGAAGTCTAATTCACTGCATGCTTATATTCATTGTGCTGTTATTTTCTAACAAGAACATAAAATTTTCTATTTTTTGTTTGCTTGTTAAAACACATTTCAGTGTGGGTTTAATTCTCCTTTTTCAATCCCTCACAGAAGGGATACAGAAGGCTGTATCCCTTCTCATCCCTGGGCTCCCCAGCCATTGAAGGCTAGTCTGCAGTGAGGTGCAGCAGTCCACTGGCGGCCAACACAGGAGGGCACATATCACATGTAGATCTTGGCCACATGGTCAGCACTGAGGCGTGCACCATGAGGCTACATCATGGTACCCATGCCAGTGGACTATGTCACACTCCAGCTCCCAAAGAAGAGTTTCACTCAATGCAAGCAACAAGGGTTCTTTTCCCCAGGGAATGGCAAAAGCCATAAGTTGTTCTTACCAGCCAGTCTCTCTGCCAGGGTGAGGGCATGCACCGAGGGCCTGTAGTCAGGGGCGTGCTGGGCTTGCTGAGCTGCCTGCTGGTGGAGGTTGTACATGGCGCTCAGCGAGTTCATGGCGTGGAGGGAGTAACCGTTCACTCCATAGTGCTGCATGGTGACATAAACCTGGAAAACAGCAGCCAGAGGAGAGAGGTGCTTAGGAATGTGCTATTCCAGTGTCCTGGTGTCCAGCAGAGCTTTGGAAATGCTGAGCTCAAACTTAAACTGCTGCATGCAAGGCTCAGTTCCAACCTCACAACTCCAACAGGTTCTGGGACAGGAATCAAAATACCTCCCGTAGACCTAAAGCAATAGCAGCACCAGTCTGGCTTCCAAGCTTAAAGACAAACATCTGACTATATCCCACTCATGATATGCTGAACAAAAGATGGGAATGGATTTTTTTAATATACCACAATAAATCATAAATAACTTACTGTATTATTGTGACTTTCAATGAACTGACCTAGCTCCATCCCAGGACTAGCTGGAATTGTCCCTATCATTGCCTACAATGGGCTGTTCTGTAATCCCATTGCTGTAATGTCAGATAATCTTTCTTATCTGAACTCACTCATATGTAACTTGTTTCCATTCATTTTTCTTAAAGTTCTTCATAACGAAACACAAATGGTACAGAAAAAAAACCCCGGCATGTGGTGTAAAAGAAAATAAATCTGTAGCGTAATAGGGCCACAAATGTTATGGCTAAAGAGGGAATGAAGGTTTACAATAAATACTGACGTTTCATAGCTCAATAGCAAGGAAATTATTTCAAAAAACAAATGGGTTTTTTCTACTGTGGGCTCTGCGTGAAGCTTCAAGCTGTTTTTCCTCACAGACCATCTGTAAAACTGAGCTCATATTGATCTCAAAAGCTGAGTGATGCTTCATGAATCTCTATTACAAATGAGTGAGGGCCTCCAGGATGCCATTCCTGTAGCTTGTAAGACACCGGAAAGGAAGTTGTGAAACACTTGCCACAAAATATAATTCTTAAAATACCATTTACATCAGCAAGTCATCATCTGGGAAGTCAGTGCAATGAATGGATGAACATGCAGAGG